GGGACGATATTTAGTCTGTTGTGCAAGGTACGAATGAAATAAAATTTTAGAATTTTCAATAGTAAAAACCAATTTCTCTCGGTGAGAAATATACGAGAAGTCGAACAATACACTAACGTAATTAAAGAAAATCAAACGTAACTCTTATTAATGACCAGGACCGCGTCTAGAGCTTTTTGGACCCTAGGCATACAAATGAAAATCGGGGCCCTTCTTATATAAATAAGAACGAGGGTGATTTTTGTTAAAACAAAAAAAAATAATTTTTGAAGTTGTGTTAATTTATATTATTATAGTTTGAGATTACAAAGAGAGATATCGCGTACGTTTCCCCTTGCCACCAAAGTATCTCAAATATGACGTTGGCGTTACAATAAAAGTATTATTATTGTTACATATTTTTTAATCAAATTTGGAAGTCGAAGCGAGCGGATTTATTTATTTCATGCAGTAATGACAAACACCTCTATGCAGTACCCAGTCACGTACCTATATTGCCTAATGGTGAACGCGGTCCTGTTCGTGACCGTATTATGAATTGTTCAAAATAAAAAACCGAATGTTTGTATTTTCGTAGACCAACACAAAATGAGAACAATAAATTTTGTAGCAATGAAGCGTATATTTAAAAATACGGATGAAAAATGTTTGAATCTCCATGGGGAATTCATTTAACAGTTGTAGCTAGACGAATTAAAAGCTCCAGGGATTTTTTCCCCGTGTTTTGTTTTCGTGCTATTTGTGCTAAAATGGATGACGACATTCAAAACAATGATATGAGAAGCAGATTGAAAATAGCAGTGAAGCGAAGAATTTCTTCTGTGATAGTGACACATTTTTGAACACAGCAGAAACAATAATAGGAATAAAATGAACTGTATATTTATATATAAATTGTTATAACACTTTTGATTAACATTCTATCGTTCCAGTTAGAATTATAACAGGAATAGTTTTATTAAGTGTACAAATAAATTTGATGCCTTTTTTCAACAAATTTGGAGGATTGTATCGACTTAAAACCGCTATACTTTTTCAGACAGGAAGTTCGTTAGTTGCTGGATAAATGGAAAAAAGTCATTCAAAATAATGGAAATCATTTAGAACATTAAAATTATGTTGCATTCTTTTGTAAATAAACATTTAAGTTTGTGAAAAAGTGCACTGAATTAATTTACACACGTAATGTATTTAACACAAAAAAGGAAAGAAGATGAAATTACAGTCAAAGTAGCTTATTACAGTTCTTTACGAAAACAAATAAGATAATATTACACAAGTAGAAAGAAGTAGGGAGAAGACTAGAGGTAAATTGATTTCAAGGTACATTTGCCAGAACAGAGTCAAATTATTAACGTCTTTTGTATCTTAATACTAGAAATTTTGAACGAATCTTTTTTAAAGTTACGCATTTTTCTCGAAATATGGACGAAAATTTAGAATTTTAAATGTCAGCTCTCTGTAAAATATTGTTTGTTTTCAGAAACAAGCATACAACTTGTTTTTTACTACACAGAAATTTTAACATTGACTTTTATACGCTGCAGGCCATAAAGTGCAGGCACTAACCGAGCTGTTTTGCATGAATGTCGTTTAGAATAAAATATTTCACCTTTAAATTGCTGAAGGTAGCGCAGCAGGTGGCGAGTACTCGACTGTTTATACACTCGTAGTCAACAAAGTCTTCCTAGTCCTCGTTAGCATTTATTTAGCGTAGTGTAACTTTAACAGAGAACATAGTAAACAAGTAATATTTACGTTATTTTATTTAGAATAAATAACATTTGCTATTAGTATTTGTTAATAACTAAACAGATAAATATAAATATAAACAGCTATTCTCCATTATGAGAAAAATATTTTGAATAACGTCTTTTCTAGTTGCTGGTAAACAAGAAACTAACTTGTACTTGCCATTGGATCCTTGTTTGTAAACATTTTGCTGAATTCTTAGATACTGTAAATTTTTTCAACTCATTTCTCTTACATTATTCTCTTTTCTTAGTTTACTTGTTATCAAACAAATGTAAATAATTTTTTTTTGTACTGATAGTAAATGTTACGTTTCTAAATTAAATAACGTAAATATTATTTATTCACTACTCTCTCTGTTGAAAAAGTTAAGCGCTAAATTTAGGTGTAGAAATTAATTCTTTCCTACTTTTGGGTACAAACAAAGTTTTATTTAAAAAGAATGAAAACAGATCAATCATTGAAATAATTTTCATTATTTTCGTTGACCTTTTGCCATTTTTCTAGCAGCCTGCGAATTCAATCACGATAGAAACTCGTTGGGTTTGAATCAATTATGTGAATACAGAAAAATTCCAATTACTACAGTGTTAATTAAGCCTGCTTCCTCTTTATAAATATAAAAAATTAGGTATTATCAATCAATTATAATCAATGTAACTGTAAATCGTTTAATATATAAATCACATAATTTTAAATATATAACTCTTCTCTAAAATAGCTGTTTTCAACTTTAACCTTTCATCTTTCGTATATCCGACATGATAAATGCGTTTCCATATTGAAATCCCCCAAACATGCAGAAAGCATCTAGAACTTTTAATGGAAACGAAAAAAATAATGTTTGCAGTATAATTCTTTTACCTTATTTTAAAATTTTTCTTTTTACCTTTTTTTTAAAATTTTCCCTATTAATTATTCTACATGCGACAGTAACATAGTAGCTTGAATATATTTGACTGGTACTCGATCGAAAGTGACTTAGAAAACACCATGTAGAAAGACCTTGACTTGCACGAAAATAGTCGCAGATGAATGTGGCATGTATTGTACCTAATTGAAGCAGAAAAATGATGTAAAAATGACAAATAGACGGTATTATAAAGCATCGGTGAAACTCAGGATGAATAAGTTCAACGAAGTATAATAACTTCCGGAACATTCTTGCTGTACCTAAGGACATAAATTTCTGACGAAGGAAAAGCCGTTAAAAAGAGAATACGAAACTTCTGGTATTCTTTCGTTCAAGAACAAGAGGAGATGAGATCATTTTGCGATGAATATAGCCACAACTTGAGTTTCTTCTCCTCAACATTTTGAAGCGATTACTTCATTTATTCGCATGAACGTTGGTTCTTAAATACTTTGAAGAAGGTTCGGTATTCAAGAATAATAATTATTGACAAATATTGCAACATCAATATTATAGATTACATTACACAATAATAATAATGTATTACATATTACACAATAGTAAACATTACACAAAGATTTTTAAAAATTTTACGTTAAAAGTAAACTAAGAAGTTACTTACTTTTAAATATATTTTTCCTTAAAAATTTCTAAGAAAGAAACTTTGCGAGTACATGAAAAATTGAATTTGTAATTGCAAATTTAACTATTAACAATTAAATTTAACTAATAACAATTTGTAAATGTATATTTTCAAGTTACAAAAATAAGAAAAAATGAACTAGGTCTAGGGAAAATATCAATTGTTAGGATGAAGAAATAATAAATTTGTTAAGCCCTTTCTTCTTATTTACACAGTGGCGTAATTTAAGTATCTGGATATTTCAACTAAAAATTGACTTATTCTTCGATGCTACAGAACTTTCAATCCAATTTTTGTATACTGGATAAAATAGGTGGCATTGATCAAAACAAATGGATGACAGTGTAATATAATATCTAGACCACGTGAAGTAAAATATTTTACTTTAAATGAAGAAATGCTTTTAGCGTCTCTATATTTTAGCACTGTCAAATTCAGAGAAGAATCGTGTCCATGAATATATTTTTGTGCCATTGATAGGAATATTTTCAGTGGCTATTTTCGACCAAGAAATATGATTACGCTATTGATGACTGATATTTTGAATGCAGATTAAACAATAATGAAAAAGTTTCATTTAATAGAGGTAATAGCGAACGAATGAAATTTTGCACTCATTCAATATGTAAATATATTCAACATTATTATGAGAAAGCAATTAAGGGGATATACTATTCTTGAGGTTAAAAAAAAATGAATTTTGTTTTTGCTAAAATGAATAGTTTATACTTTTAAAAATATAAACCAAGTAGTTATTATTATACTATGCTATTATTATACTACGTTATTATTATATTATTAGTAATATGCCATTAGAGCCGATTTTATGGAATACGGCATCGCGCCGTCAATCTGTAATTGAAACATTAGACGTGTTTTTCTCAGAGTGACATGTTTAAAATTGGTGTTGTCCATAACTTTCATAATTTTCCTCCGATTCTCTTGAAATTTTCAGAAAATTCTCTCTGTTGTGCAATCTAAAGAATTACATTGGAAACTTTTTCTGCAATTAACATTTTTATACTGAAATTTGAGGGAAATAATGCGATTTTTTCTTCATATAATCACAATTTCCATAAAAATTAATCTTTTTTACAAATCTATGTACTTCTTCAGTAATTTGCACGTAGATAATGAAAATTTTTGATATTTTGTTCTAAATGAAACCATCTGACAGCGGGAGAAAGCATCACAGCTGTAGCGCTGCCATTTTGTAAAGAAATTAAATGAAAAAATGCTTATATTAAATGAAAAAATGCTTATATATTCTTTAAGGGTTAGGTATTAATATAAAAAAGCCCTTATCAAAATTTTTCCATTGAATTAATAATTTAAAAGAAAAATGCTAAAAGTACATAGGTACATATATTCAGGCCTCAGGGTTGATCTAACTTCTTAAATACAAAATAATGTGATAATATTTTTTCTTGCATCTAGTCAAATTATTTGAAAAGAATTCAAATGACACAAATAGTTATCTCACCAGTAAATTGACCAATTTAGAATACTTATTGTCAATATGATAGTTCTCTTAAATTGAAATAAAAACAAACATTACTATTCATCGGAAAACACTGGATACATATACATAGAAAGACAGTAATCACCAAAACGTAGATTTATCAATCATCCAAACAAATATGCAAAAGTGGATAGAAAATTGCAGAAACACTGTTCGTAAAGTTTACTCACCAGGTTTAGTAGGTAAACGTTGGTCACAGTCCGCATCCTCTTGTTACGTGCCAATGTAATTAATACCAACGAGTTCCCAACGACAGAAAGTAAAAATATCGTTCCGTACAATGGTATGATTAAGCTTTCAAAAATATTAGCTCGTGCAGACTGGGTAACTGTTGATAATGTGACATTCACCACGATGGAAGTCATTGTCGATAATTGTGGCACGTTGCTGACGAATTGCTGATCTATGTCAGAATTAACGAAATAATTGTTTGGTACTGCGCTATCGGACATATTGTAATCCAGGAATGACATCCTCATTTCACTCAAAGGTGTCAAAGTCTGAGTTTCAACCCATGTATATGAAAAGATGTTAAATCATCCGACGAATCCATTTATCAATTGTTCCTCTTTCATGGGTAATTAGATAAATTTAAATCATGTTCTATGAAAATTATGTGGGACACATTTTCTGTGCATGTATAACACGACTGGTTTTCTTAACATTTTTCGATTTTATTTGGTAACACAGTCAGTTCTTCGATGTTTTAGATTCTAAATTTGCTTTTATAAATTTCCTTGTAGATCCGATACAGCTGCTAGACGACTCTGAAATATAAACAGAAACATCAATGTATTAAAACTTTATTTTAAGTAATACTGAGTACGCATAAGAGAAATATTTATGGCTAATATAATTTTTATTTCATTTCGTTGACAGCGACAAATTAACACAGGTGAAATATAATTGAGATATCATAACTGAATTTTATCTGTATTAAATGCAGATAATTATAATTGCTCTATGGACCATTTATCTTTACAGTACTCGTCGCTAATAACCATTCAAGAACAGCTGATACATTACAAATTATGTAATATATGTATATAAATAAAAGAAAATAAATATTTCTGTAATTTATAGGGTTTAGGGTATCTAAACATTGAAGGACTTTTGCAGAGGATATGGATTTAAAAATGAATGATTTGTTATGAATTTTTTGTGGAAAAAATTTGTTATTTTTTGAAATCCATATTCCCTGCAAAAACATAGTGTTTTTTTTGTATATATGTAGATACCTATAGATCCTATTATATTATACTAATTTGCGTGGGATTAACTGCACTCTTAGAACATATTGACAAAGTTTGATCGGAAAAAACTGGGACACCCTGTGTTCACCATTCGTAGCGAAAGGGTTAAGGAGGATACAGCACACATTGTTTCACTGTTACGAATCTCAAATACAGGTTAACATTGGGACTCTCGAGCAACGTGAATTACATTTTACCACCACGAAGTTCAACGAAAGTCTGAATGGAATATTATCTACTGAAATAAAGTGGACGTTTCGTTGCATCACAAGCAAAAAAGTTTATCTCATTTCAATCTGTTTTTCCACATTGAAAACCTATATGCTCACCATTCTTAAAATAAATAGTAATTAAAGTGTAAGTGATTGTGAAAAATATTTTCTGTCTGTTGAAAAGAAATAATAAATTGTCATTTCCAATATTTTCTTATGTAGTACATAATCTATAAATTCAAAGCACAGATTACACTAATTGAAATACATAAAATTCTTGATTGAAAACTTTGCACAACACAAGAGATATTCATTCAGTTTTTTAATAATATTTGTAGAAATTGTATTACTTTATTGGATACCAATTTAAACGAAAATCTACTTATTTCTAACGTTGGACATTCAATATCCTTTGTTCGTTTTTTCGAGAAGACAATATATCAGGATCAAGAAGCTGCAAAGCATCGTTTCTTTTGTTTCAAAATGTATAGCATCCTGGAAAAAATATTATAAATCACTAACTCTAATCGGATAGAAAGTCTACAGATAGGAAAGCACACGGTCGGTAGCTTTCTAAGTTACATGAAGCGAGTCCTCTATGCAGCTTGCATATTTATCACAGTGACGTTTACAGCGTGGAAATACATGGATCGTCGTATTATACCGTCTATAAATGTGAATTTCGAGTTCTACGAACTAGGTACACACAGTAGCACCGGTTCTTCTAAAAATATTATGTGTGAAGTTCAGAACTCTTCATAGATGGTGAACCTTTACATTGCAGCTTGCCTTAAAATAGTAAAGATCATATTGTGCTACTTTCTTGATAATACACAAAAGTGAATACTCAGGACAGTATTTTACTTAGACTTAGGACAGTCTTAGGAGGAACATTTTTAATTGACAAAAAATATTTTTTAAGAATGAAAATTTTCGAGTTAATCCTTGTACAGAGATTGTAAAGTTACACGAATAAGTAAATTTCGGTCAAATTAACTCGATATCGTATATATTATCTATATACAAGAAATAAGTATAAAAAAATAAAACTGAATTCATTTAATTATTACGACTCAATATTGTAATGAGTTACTAAACTTTTACGATATAATTTTAATATTACATTGAAATTAGATGAAATATTGTTATAGAGGGCGATAAAATGTTTTCTTTTCGTGTTTGGCCACTTTGAGGTATTACATGAGCACAGCATAATATAGAGTTGTCTTTTTATTTATAATATCTAGAATTATTACTTTAATACAATTACTTGATTACGTGTGAAGTTACGCAAGAAGATATCCAGACAAAAACCTTTTATCAAGGAAGTACATTTATAGAGAATGATCATGCATTTGAAAATATAGCTAATATTTTTAAAGTAAATTTAATAGATTAGTTCATTTATTCTAAATAAAAGAATATTTGATTATTGTACAATATTATAAATATTTAAATGTAAATAACACACATAAAATCTTTTCCTACACATTTCCTTACATAAACAAGCAAACAATTAGCCGATTATTGCTATTTGCTAGAAAACCACGTGCTTGTTTTTCTTATTTTTTAATTCTACATTGTATTTACTATAAGTAATTTTAAACAGGTTCAAAATAATTGGAAAATCCATTAAGAAATAAACTGATCTGCAATGAAATGCGAATAATTAGATGGACGGAGCATCACTTTGCTGCCTTTTAAGTTTTAATGGATTTTACGTCGCGATAGAACAAGTTCTTTGTAAGATTTCTTCCCAATGGAAATTAAATTAAATTTTTCCCTCAAAGATGTAGTCGCATAAAAAATGTGGTGTAGTTTAATACTTTTATACAGTGCTTCAGACAGTGTATTTTCTTCAGGTCATTCCAAGTTTGTATATTAATATTAGATCGGTGAAAATGAAACGTCTCTTCAACAGCTGAAATTAGTGGCTCGATATCACACATTAAATTTCATCAAATATAAATTGCCGTACCGTAGTTAAATGTTTTTTCCCTTTAATTTTTGTACAAATTACAGAATATTACAGATTCCAATTAAATTTTCCAATAATGTACAAACAGCAATTTTCGATATCATCTTGATTCTCAGAATAATGGGCTTATTCAAATTGAGCAACCGTCTCATCCGCAGTTTTCAGTTCTAACAACCAATGGAGAGGATTAATTTCCCCTGTCGATTAATCTGCATTCGTGTCAAAATTTTCCACATACATACATATTTCATCCGTTATGAACTTAAGATGGAACTTCTGGGAAGTTACAGAATAATGATTTTCCCTAGTAAGAAGTTGGCAGAGACGGTTTGTGAAAGACACTAACAAGCGCGTCACATAGGAAATAAGCTATTTGAATTAAAGTCTGAAGTGACAGGGTAAGAAATTACTATGAAATTCTTACTGGTTGGGCAATCAGTTTGATTCGAGGACGGGCAGTAACGAGGTGGTGAGAAAGAGTTTACGCCAAATGCTGTGAATTCTTGAAGTCAGTCTCCATCTGCAAGTCTACAGGCCTAAGAAATTTTCTCAGAAGCAATAAAACTTCTTTCCAACTATGTGAAGGTTGGTAGAGGAAGAAGAGTTTAAATTATTAACGAAATGTTGGTGGACTCGATATTCCTTTTACATTGAAAAAAAGAAACTTTGTCCCACGAGAAACTGATAAAAGATACAGACAGGTATAATCACCGATTTTTATGAAATTTTTGTATATCTTAAAAAACTGTTCTAACCACAATTTGTTAACCCTGTGCACTCGAAGATTCTTTTGCTACAGGGAAGTAACAAAAAGTTTGCTAAATGAAATTGATTTTGTTCAAATTAACGTAGAAATAAACTGTACACATATCAAAGTATTTAGCTATTGTATTTCAATATTTAATATATTTTTATATTATACAAGAGCTTACAATATTTCATTAGGAGCTGGTTCTTTAAAACTATTTTGTTGCTTAGACCTCTAACATATAGAACACTACAGTTTATAGAGGTCTATAGACCAGCTGCCTTAAAAAATATCAGTTTTAACAGAGCATCAATCAATTATTTAGTATTGTCAAAAAGGAGAAACAAGAGTATGTGAAATGTTATTGAAAAACTTCTTGTCGCTAAATTCTTTCCGATATTTAAATGAAATTTCCACAGTAGCTAGAAATTTGCTATAACGAAACCGATATCAAAGGATCTTTCGTACATAAATCAAAAATGGACCCAAATCAGCTCCTGCGATTAAAAGGGTTAATGTCGATTCTCAGTCACCTCTCGAGTGCAAAGGGTTAATTGGTAATTGTCAATATTTAAAGGGTGAAAATCGCCCTCAAAGCTGGGAAAGAAAAAATATTTAGAGACGACGAATGTGGCTGCGTAAACAGATTTGAGAAAAATCCGTTCTTTTAAATACTATACTAAAACTTATAACTTTTTAAAAATTTTTCTTGTATTGAATTATATACACAAACGTAAAATACGGATAAACTAGAATTTTTATCTTTCACAAATTAAAAAAAGTAATTGCTCCTGAAATTTGTTAGTCTTACATTTTCAATGAACGATACGACCAGAATGAAAATACACACATTTAGTGGTTAGAGACGATGTACAGATAGAAAAGAAAATGATTTCCTGATATTGACTCTCAACTTACAAATCTCTTTTCAAATGTACAACCAGAAAAGTATCAACAGAAACAATGCAAGATTCGCCCGCTTTTCGTGCAAAAAAGATTGTGTTTTAAAGCGATATTGTTTCTATCCCTGCATAAATCTGTCGATCGTTCGTGGGGTTGATTGACGTTTGCACGAGGTGCACCGACTAGTTTCAGGTTCGAAGAACCATCCTCACGTTCAGGGACAAGACATGTATAATGCGTTTAAGCTGGATGATCCAGTTTATTACGCAATGGTGATCGATTGCTAAGGTTGTTGTGTTCTAACGTCTCTATGTTGTGTGTTCCAATAACTACTCTTGACTGAGCTTGACTAACTTATCTGTTTTGACGTACATATTTAACTAGA